ATACATGTGTTTATAGTAGTTAAGTAAAACTATTGTCATTATACTTTTGCTTTGTGTGGTTAGTCTAAAAGCTTTTAAAGTATATTGTAACATTAAGTTCTTAGTCTATTGCCTAAGATGTAAGCTGCTGGCATCTTCCCATTGTCATAACCATATAATAAAACTAATGATAAAAAATAAACAACTCAAAGCACATTCCTCAACAGTCCCATCCCATTCATAATCCCCCCAACCAACATCTTCTGACCTAAACCATTCTATGATCCTGTGAACATCCCCAAGACCCTTTCCCCAGGGCTGCTCCCAATCCCTTTTTCACCCCGTATTTGTGCTTGGGATTGTCATGACCCACACGCAGGACCTTGCACATTGCCATGTTGAACATCATGCAGTCTGCATGGTCCTCCCTCTCAAGCCTGTCCTGTTTATTCTCTCCAGGATGGAATCTCTTCCCTCCAGCACGTCAACTGCACCACACAGCTGGGTGTCATCAGCCAAGCGGCTGAGAGTGCCCTCCATCCCACTGCCCATCTTGCCAACAAAATGTTAAATAGTGCCAGTCCCAGTCCAAATATCTTCATTATGAGGTGAAAACATGCAAGACAACACTGCTGTGTATTATCACTGCAACTGAAGTAGTTTAGAGTATTCTCAAAGGACAGGTGTTACAATATGGATTGCAACAAGGGGATTTTTATTCTCCCCTGCCAACCAAGTACTTGTGCTGTGTAATGATAATAGAAGACAGAATAAACAGGGCTAATGCATTGGAGAAACTAAATAGAGAAAGGCTTTGGGAATTATCTGATTTCTTGATTATCCTGCTGACCTGATTTTCTCAAGCACTATCTTTTTCTCCCTGTTCTTTCTTTTGATTCCTGCAGAAGACACAGGGCTGAACTTGATACAGGCATGTATTTTTGTCTACTATGGAAGCCATGTGTATGTATGCAACTTAGTGATGGATTTGAAGTACTTAAGTGTGATCTAATGCCCTCTCAATCAACCAGTACCTTTATTTAATGTAAAAAATAATAATTGTATTTCCAATTAAAATAGTGAAACTACTTTTTTTTTAATATTTGATTTTTCTCTCTTAGAGAACACCTGAGTTGTACCCTCTGGTAAAAATCCAAGGTCTACAGGAAGTCCACATTAAAATGCTAATTTATTTCTTTTGCCACACACCTTTTCCTGATAATATATGTAGTTTTATAATTTATGCCCTAACACTGCTCCAGTATAAATAGTATCCTTTTTTTTTTCTCACACTTGACATTTTTATTTATTCTGAACTTGTTTCATTAATAAGTAATTTTTAAAGTCTTCTACTTTCCCTTGAGTAATCTTGGCTCTCTTGCAATTTCTCTGTGTATTTATATTTATCTTTGAAATTTTTCCTTGTCCTTAGTCCTCCACAAATTTAATTCAAATTAAATCCACTTTAATCTATTCTTCGTAGCCAAAACAAGTTCCTTTATTTGCTTCATTTCCATTACATTGATCAAGTTCTGATTAAATTGGTAGCTACAGGGAAAAACCATCAGAAATCTCCCTTCCCCTAATAATCATAATTAACTCTCTGCAGAGCAGCTGTTTAAAAATGTTCTAGACAGAAGACTAAGGAGAAATAAAACCAACCCAAACCAAAGAACTCATAATCGCATTTCTTGAAAGAGTTTTATCTCAGACTCTCCCTATCCACTTGCTATTACTATGGGATTATTTTTGTTAGTTTACTGGCAGCGTGTTGAGCACAGCAAGTTCTAGCTGGGCAAGATGCCCATTGATGTTAATGATGTTATGCCAACTTCCACTTTGCTGCAGGAACCTGGACCATAAATGCTGTGATACTGTCATTCAGTTAGTGTATCAAACTTAACATTTTGCTCCAATTACAGTAACAGCCAGAACTACATTTTCCTTCTCTAAGATCAGAGTATTTGTCCAGCATTTCATTGCTGCTAATGTAGAAACCCAGGGAGTGCACCCTGGTGGTTGAGCATTGCTGTGGGTAGATCTTCCACACAAAAAGCAATCTTGTCCAGAATTCTAGGCACTGCTGGGGTTCACCACTTGCTACTGGCACATGGGTTTAATATCCACACTGCCTGTAATAACCTCAGGCCAACCTCACAGATGTATTCAAAGGTAATGTCTGTTTCTATTGTCCAAAAATACCCATTTCCAATGCTGCAATCTTCAGACTTGGGTACTGAATTCTGCTGTGAGTTATTAACTGATTAAGATACAAATGCTTCAGTCAAGTGGTTTATTAAATACTTCACAGAGAGTAAAATACCTTGATTTAGGCAGACCAAAACCAGAACTGGTGTGGAAACCAGGCATAAGGTAGAAAGGATTTGTGGTGTAGTTTTTCTGATCCTTTATTGTGTTTCCAAAAGACTCTTCAAGCTCTTCAAGTTCAAGCTGCCAGGCTTTTGGCAATCAGCTCTTGAGGGCAGCTCAAAATTCAGTGTTATTCAGTGGGAAAAATGAAATGGCCATACTACTAAAGGAGTAAATGCCTATTTATCCATAGAACATTTTTACTAAGAGAAGTCTAGCCCATGTCACAGGTACAGAAACTTTCCTGAAATTAAATCTACAGGAAGCTTACTTGTTAAATATTGCATTACCTGCTATCAGATGCAATGAAACAGGTTGCCTGTCTCCAGGTCTTCCTGTCTCTTTTTCTCCTCTATATCCTTATTTTTCTTTTGGGAAAGAATAGGTTGCTTTTCTTCACCAAAGTTCTAAATCAACTGTAAGCATACATCCTTTGCCCTTTGCACTGCTGGTGGCATATTTATACTGCAAATATGATCAACAGTAAAAGGGATTTGAATTTATTCTGACTTTCTTTGCTTCTTGTCTTTTTGTATTCTTGACCATTTTCCCTTCTAGAGAAGCGCATGCCAACTTATTCAGAAAAGTTTGGCAATATACCTATGACCTCTTATTTGCTCCACAGAAGATGACAGTGCAAGATGTTCCTCGTGCCTTTCCCACAGTGGATGTCCCAGATCACGCCCATTATACAATTGGAGTTGTCATTCTTATAGTGGGGATTACAGGAACTCTGGGTAATTTCCTGGTCTTCTATGCTTTCTGCAGGTACCTTTCTTCTGAATGTCTTTTTAAATATTCAAATATATGAACTTCAACTGTATCCTGTGTGTTGCAAACACAGTCCAGGAATACTGTCAGACTTCTTCACTGGCAGAGTAAAATGCACCAAGAAACATTACTGTAGGAAAAGAGTGGCAGTCTGCCATTTCCCTCTGACTTCTTCCCATTAACCACAGCCATAGAAAAATTGTTAGCAAGATTGCAAAGAACCACACAGATATTCCAAGTTATAGAAATGCAGCCAAAGCACAAATATTACAGTGAATTTTTTTTCTACTGGCTAGCTGTGTCTGCATTGAACTGATGGGCTGGTTTGCACCTCTGAACCTCACAAATCTTCTCTATTTTAGATGTTTCTTTCCTCCTGTTTCTTATTAGTCAGTTTCTTTCTTCCCCCTTGTTCATTAGTGGCCATTTTTTTTCACATTTTCCAACATTTGGCTTGTTTCCTTTTAACTAAAGCCACATTCCAACTTTTATATCTGAGGGAAATTTGATCTCTGACAGCAATGTCATATGCTCACCATTCCTGTTCACTCCTCATTCTGTGTCTGATTTGTCACACTGGGACAGAGCATTGCCATGATGTTCAAGCCAGTGAACTTCTACTATGTCTTTAGGCATAAATGTAATAAACCAAAATAATAGCAACAAATTATAGGATAATTTGGCTGTGTTGACTTAGATCACTGGAGTATAGATAGAAGTTGTCTTGGTCTCAAGCCTGTATTTATGGGCAGCAGGTATGTTCATTCAGAGTAGAATGGCATACTTAAGTGAGAATGGCAGTGGCCTTAAGAAGAGAAAAGGTGTTGGCATGAAGATCAGATATGTCAGGATGAAGTACATGAGCCAGCTTAGCTTTTTGGCTGGTCCCATACAGGAAATCCAGTTATGGCACTTCCACTTCAGGACACAGCTTGTCTTTATTTGAAGGTGATATGAAGACAGAAAGGGATACTGATAGCTAAGTAACGAGTACATCAGAAATAAATTCAGAAAACAGTTTAGGTGCTTACAAAGCAGCCTCAGGTAATGACAAATCATAAGAGAACCAGCTGCCTGAAACAGAAATGTGTTCAGTGACTTCACAGACTACAAATACATACAACCCATAAGCACCTACTAATAATACCTCCTTGCTCCTAAATTGACAGAAAGGGGATGATGGTCCTAGTGATTGATTCTGGACCAGTGAAAAAAAATCATGGTTTATTCACCTATTTTTCTATTATGTCTAAGACTGAAATTGAAGAAGGAGCTAAGTAGTCACACTGAGCCCCAAAGTGAAGAGTTCTCGGTTGAGTTTTTATGTGTACCCTTTAAAACATGGTAATGTAATATTATGAATAACAAAAGCAGGCTGAATACGCTGCTTATTGCTCTTTGAAAGACAGAGTCTGGGCCGGTGAAATGAGTGTCATGGAGAAGAACTGATGTAAAACAAAGTGCTTGATGTGGTTTGTAGTGAGTTTGCTTAATCCCTATATTAGGAAGGCACTGTTGATCTTATCAACAGTGGAAAATGGATGCCCGTTCTCCTGCTTAACACAGCCCCGATTCAGACATCCATAGTTGTACACCAACTCTAACTTCCTGTTAAGTGTGGACATGCAGTGCACTGGTTAGAATATTTAAAGAACAGTGTGATATATCCCCATCACTGAGCTGGTTATCAAAACAATGCTGTAAAGTGCACAGGAGTAAAGGGTGTAAAACTGGGCCTTGCTTGTGTTCCCTCACGAGGGAAACAAGAAGCACTCTGCTTTAGCTTACCATGTAGTGTTCCTTGGGATTTGCGAGCTCACAGGAATGAGTAACAGCATAATTAACAGTGCAGCAGTGTTTAGCAACTTTTCTTCTGATCTCTGTAGGAGTAGGAGCCTTCAGACTCCAGCCAACATACTCATCATCAATCTAGCTATTAGTGACTTCCTGATGTCCATTACACAGTCTCCAGTTTTTTTCACCAGCAGCCTCTACAAACACTGGATTTTCGGTGAAAAAGGTTTGTATATATTCTTTCTATGATTTCACTATGTTTGTTCTTACCATAGTGGCAGTTGATTTATCTACCCTCAGGTACTCTTGCAATATTGAGAACATTTCTCAACATTGTTTCAGTGTTGACACAAACATTTCTTTGAATATTTGTGTCTGTGTGCAATAAATATACTTCTATCAGGAGAGGAAAATGACATTAATGAGACAGGGGCAAAGGCACCACTGGCAACATGAGGCACAGCAATAATCTTCTTGCCAGTGCTCTTCCCCAGTCATCTCGTGACTTAGCTACTGTAGGAGTCCTCTGACAAAGAAGTACTACCCCTCAGCACACTGGCTTAAAAGCCCTTCTAAATAACCTGCTCTGGGACTTGCACCTGGCATAGTGAGGCAAGAAAGCCTGGAAAACCTGATTTTTCACAAGAGAAATTCTACACTTCCTGTGCAGTAAGAAAATGTGGAATGAAGGTGCTTTCATTCTTCCAATATAACTGTTATAAGAGGAAGACTGGTCTTTACCTCTTGAACAGGGTACTTGACAGAAAGAAAACTCACAGAAGTAAAATTGCTATTTTGATCTCTGATGACCAAAAGCATATTTTTATTTTACTTCCATTAAGTGCTCATTTGCATACATGTTAAAACTAATCCAAAGCACTGCTTTTAATCATTAGGTTGTTTGAACAATTAAAATCACTCATTAATGTATTCATAGTCTGAATATTTACTTCAGCTAAATTACTCATTAATATATTCATATTTACTTCAGTTTTGCTGCCCTTGAGACATGAACAGTACCAAAGTAACTATATCCCATTGTTAAGCAAAACAGCTGCTTCTATGGGACCTGCAGTAAAACTGTACTTAAACAAGATATTAATGGACTGCTGAAATTATCCCACTAGAAACACCAGAAATCAATGAGTGAAAATATGTTCAGTATCACTGTCTCCAGCAATTGAAGCAAACAAAATCTTTCAAGTTTATCTCCATGGATAATGTAATTAGCAAGACAGACAGCTGCTTTGAAGTAACATTATAACTGCAGGAAAACTCAACTTTCACTGCTTTACAAATTCAAGAAGACATTAGTTCATAAGAAACACAGACTTGAACTCTCCTAGAAATAATTAGCATGGGTAGATTAATTTTACTGCTACTTCTGTCATCTTCATTGCAAGGCTGTGAGCTGTATGCCTTCTGCGGAGCTCTTTTTGGCATTACATCTATGATCACTTTGATGGTGATTGCCTTGGACAGATATTTTGTCATCACTAAACCTCTGGCTTCTGTTGGAGTGACATCAAAGAAGAAGGCCCTAATAATCCTGGTAGGAGTCTGGCTGTACTCTTTGGCTTGGAGTCTCCCACCCTTCTTTGGATGGAGTAAGTGACATGGAATAAAACCTTTTTGCCCTCATAGTATTGGATTAAAGACCAGTTAAAGGTACAGAAGAGGGTTGAATTCATAGTTCACATACAAGGCTTGAGTAGATCAATTTGAAAAAAAAGATTAAACACATATTGAAACTGAAGGTCTCTAATCAAAAGAAAAGAATGCAGTGGGCATTATAGCATATTATATGACAGTGGCACTTTTCCTTAAGCACATTACTTCATGTGCATAAATATGCATGCTGCCCTTTGCTGTATAAAGAACAGTAGATAAATTCATGGCCAAAATTTATTCATTATCCCATGTCTACTTCCATTGAATCAAATTCAATAATATATAAGTTAAATAAATGTGGTTTTGTTATTTCTGATGAATTTTCCTCCCCAGAAGTGCTAAGACAACAGTGTCAATCTAATTCTTTTCATTCACATAAAAGAGTCTGAGCATTTGTGCCAGATCTTCAGTAAGTCTTGACTGTGTTCTGGATGGACAAATTTCACTTGGTGTTGCCCACATTCTCCATTCACTCATTGGTGTTGTCACTGGCTTCCAATAAGCATGGCATTTAGTAGTAACTAAAATGCTTTTGTAAATGTGAATTATACACATGGAAATTGGAACATTCATACAGCACCTTGATCATTGCAATTTGTGACAAAGCAAGTTTCTGTTATTCTTACTGAAATCTGCCTCACTACCATTAAGTTTATTTCCTGAGAGTCACCAGTTGCAGTCACTAAGTTAGAATGAGTTCATCATTCAAAACCCCAGCCCACCATTATGCTCCCTAACTACAGAAGAGAATGTATCTGCCAAGTGAGGTGAGAACATAGATATGTTTGACTAGCAAAGGATGCAACAACCAACTCAGGTACTGAGCAGAATTTCAGCAGAGTTCTGTTATTGTCATATTATTGCCATTCTGGTCCCCCTAAACATGAACAATGCTTAAACAGACAAACTGCAATACTGATAGAAGCAGTCTTTAGTTGAGTGAGGAGCTGTTAGAATAACAAAATGACAATATAGCCTTAGATTACAGATTTTCAGTTGAAGAAGGTGGAATAATTGCTTGAAGGGTGTTATTATCTTGTAATTAGATTGTAATAGTGCCCACAGTATGAACTCTCACACTGTAATTAGATGCATTTGAGAACATCTGGTGCAATATTTTTAAGAGCAGAACAGAAAATGTTAAAATTAAAAATCCAAAGTAAAAAAAAAAAACATTGCTACTGCCAGTTTATTTACTTAACAGTTTGAAACAGTTCCTTTAAAGACAATACATTTTGTTTCAGGTAGAACATTAGGTATGTATGTAATTTTTTTTAGTTCTACTCAGCTTTCCTTTATGACAAAATTATTTGGTCTACACAATAAATCTTTTTCTTTTGCCCAGTAAATTTCTCTTATCTGCACATGCTTAGAAAAATGGTACCTAGAGCAATTGGTTTGACTCCTTAGGAAGAAAGCCATTTGACAGGAAACAGAGATATTAAAAAACAATACAGGTCTGGTCCCAGACCCAAATAAGTATTTGAAGAGATTCCCTTTGACTATGATGAGTTGTAAACAATATTCAAGACTGAAGCAAAATTACTTGGTTTTCTGAAGCCTTAGACTGCTAAGCATAAATACAATAGGGAAACAAAATAAAAGAAAATATAGAAGTTTTTTACATGAAGAATTGTTGATCCTTTTAAACCCTTCTTTCCCTTTCAGAGAACAGGACTAAATCCCATGTTATTCTGAGTATCTTCTCTAACTTCTGCACTCAGAATAACATTCACTTCATGGTTTATGCCTTCTCCTGTCTTCCTTTCTAGGTGCATATGTTCCTGAAGGTTTGCTGACTTCCTGTTCCTGGGACTATATGACTTTCACACCATCAGTCCGTGCCTACACAATGCTGCTTTTCTGCTTTGTCTTTTTCATTCCATTGATTGCTATCATATACAGCTATGTCTCTATCTTTGAGGCTATCAAGAAGGCCAACAAGTAAGTAGCCAACAGTCCTAAATATTTATCCTTGTGTTTAAGCGACTGATTTCTTAAAACAAAGAAAGAAAGAAGATCATTTGGATGCGTTTCTCACAGTTATTTTGTAAGCACAACTGAAACAGAAAACCAAACAAGAATTCTCAAGAATTCTGTCAATAGTCAACATGGTAAGACATACAATTCTTAGAAGGGCCATTCCTGAATTTAGGTCTGAGCTTATCAGTGTGTTATTTAATGACATGGAAAAGGGTACAGAAATTAACCAACCAGAATAAATACAATAGGGACCTCAGAAGCCCCTAATGGCAGTGTATCAGTAACTATTTCACAGAAAAATAGATGGAATTGAACTATAAATTTAAATAAAAAAGGAGATTAAAGACTTAATAGCAGGACTCTGAAACAAAAATATATTGCTTTAAATGTAAAGGGCAGCCTGCCACTCCGTGTGTCATCTGTGGGTACCATTCCCATAGATCCCAGCAGATCAGGTCACTTAGCTCAAAAGTACAAAGTGACAGCAAAGTTGCAAAACAGGACCCAGGGAAGCAAAGAGTCCTCTGAGGGTCTTTAACTCAGCTATACTCAATTGGCTTGAATACCTGCTTTATGTGGAATATCTTTTGGTACTTTCCTGCTATTTTTTTCATTGAAGCACATGTGGATTTTGCCATTGATTAGCGCAACAGAAGTACATCAAATTGGGAAGCATGGGTCCCTTACTTGCATTAACAAAAGTTGTATGAGTTTAGCCTAAAGTAGCAGAAGGGTAATTGTTGTCCCACTTCATGAAGCTATTTGCTCACTTCCCTACCTTTTTTTTTTTCTGTTGTATGTTTATTTTCCCTAGGTCTATTCAGACATTTGGATGCAAATGTGGACATAGAGAGTTCCAGAAACAGTATCAGAGGATGAAAAATGAGTGGAAGATGGCCAAAATTGCACTGATTGTCATCTTGTTTTTTGTCATTTCCTGGTCACCATACTCTGTTGTTGCTCTGGTAGCTTTTGCTGGGTAATTATAAAGAGTATCAGTAAAGCAATATCCAGTGAAAGCAGAAGATGTGGAAATGTAAAAGATAGATGAAAGTCAAAACTACTTGTCATGTTTGACGTCTGACACATGTCCAAAACATTCATGTATTTAGGAGTGATAGTCAACAAATGGGGCACATACTGACTAATTTTTTTCTTAGTTTGACATTAAGAAAATTAAAAAAAAAATAAATAAAAAGAGAGAAAGAAAACAAGAATATTATAACTGGCAACATAAACTACCATGCTAAAAATTTCTGAATGCATTCTCTATGCTAGGGTCTTTGAACTATCTGAACTTTATTTAGTACCAAAATGCTAAATAAAGCACTCCAAAAAGATCCTCCCAGGGGTTGAATCTCTTCTTTTTGTCTACTTCTTTAATCTACATCAGTATATTCTTTTTTTTTTTTTTTTTTTTTTGTGTTACATCAAACTGCTAAAATTCCTTACATGTATAAGCAAGTTCAAAATTAGTATATACATGTGTTGGGAGGTTTTTGATGATGGATATAAAAGATCATAAATACAAATCATCAAAGCATGTTCTTCATCTATTTAATTGTCAGCATTTCACACAGTAATTTCAACAGAAGCATGACAGTATTAAAACATGTAGCTTGACACCAGACAGTTGATACAATCCAGGCATAAGTAATGGATTGGGAATCCAGATGCCTTGTCTCTGTGTGGTTATTTCTCCCACCTTAAGATGTGAATTTTCCTGTGCTTCAGTTTGGCCTCTCTAAAATGTGTGTGACTATCTCTTTTAGGAAGGCTTATCACCAGCAAAACCTCAACTGGATGATTCCGTGTGACAGTACAAAACACTTTTCTTTGTATTTTTCAAGTCAGATAAAAAGTAGGTGTTCCTAACATTGACACACAGCTCAAATTTATTTATGATGGAGCATTTTGGAAGACAAGGGTGATTTTTGTTACGCACCCAAGAAAGAGGACACTGCAGGGCTTCATCTCAAACACTGCTTAGAAAGGCAGTTTCCTAAACACAGCACTTCTAAAATCTTATGTTTAAGAAGGAAAAAAATACTAAGGGAAGTGGATCCTCTCCCTTTGTATGCAGATGGGTGATTCCCAGCTGCAACAAACATTTTCTATGTGAAGGTAAACACGTTCCTCACTCAGGAACACAAACTCTTCATGTGTGCCCTAATGTCCCATTTTCTGCCAAAGGAGAACTTAGGTACTGGACATCCACTGGTGACATGTGACATGTTAGACACTGAGGAGAAGCAAGAAGACAGAGAAATGAAGCACAGCTACCTTGCAGTACTGTAAGAGACCTAAAAGAAAATCACTTAGGGGATGCTTAAGCTGACTACTATGTAGAACTGTTTTACTGTCATGTACAATTCAGCATCTGCCTTAGGAGGATCAAGTACCTGCTGAACTTGACTTTTGCTTCATGTCTCATCCTCTCAAAAATCTGAACAAATGAACAATTTTATAATTCTGCAGTATGTTAGAAATTTGCATTTCTAAATATTACTTATAAAGCCATCTGGGGAGCAACATAGCTTCTTTCAGATTTTTTCCATTTCTGAGCTATGTCTTTTAGGCAATCTTACTGTGATTTTTCAGATTAATAGACCAAGCCTGGGTTTCTTCTGGATGTGAAATTTTATTGCAAGGGACTCACATAAAATCTCGCTGCATGCTACACATGGGAGGCAGACATAGAGTCTGTGGCTATAGTTTTGGACTAAAGAAAACTCATCAGACAGAGCAACAACATATGAAAAATGAAGGAAGAACCTTAATTCCTTTAGAAAATATTTTGAATGGGGAATAGTGAGCTAGCACACAGTCATGCTCACTAATATTTTGGTCTACAGGTTGTATTTTCTGGGAATTATTAAACAGGAAAAATTAGCTTAAACAGAAGGCTTTGCCACTGCTTGTTTCTGTTAGCTGAACTCTCCATCAGCCTTACCAAAGCATTGTCCCAGCTCAAGGTCAAAAACTCCCTTCTAGTAAGGTCACACTGTATGTTATTCAGAATATGTGAATATTTATACCTCTAATCAATATTTTTAAAGTATGATCAGTAGAAAACATGTTAAAAATAACACATGGAGAGCATCCTTAACAAGGAAAAGCTTTAAGAGGTGAAATGGCATCTCAACAGGCAGCTGACAAAATGGTTCTTGTATTGCAATTGGCAAACCGTTTCCACCTCATCACAGAGTATATATATTCCCACAGTATGATGAGAAACTTCCTCACCAGGATGGTGAGGCCTTCTTGAAGGCTGACATTGTCCCTAAGTTAAACAACATGGGAATTACCACAATTCTGAATCATAGTAGTGAAGGTACTGCCAGAGAAGCCCCAAGAAAAATCATATTTCTCATAAATCCAATTAGACTGATGTTGATCTTCACAGGCAAAAGATGTAGAATTTGTTCTCTCACTCTTTTGGTACAGAGCTCTTACTCTCTCTGGAGTCTTAAAGCACTGTCTTGCCACTGTTTAACTGCATAGAAAATGCAGAACTCAATAGTAAATATATGATGTGTTTGCATTACCCTAGGTATTCCCACGTCCTAACACCTTTCATGAACTCCATACCAGCTGTGATTGCCAAAGCTTCTGTCATCCATAACCCCATCATTTATGCTATCACTCACCCCAAGTACAGGTAAGTTAATTCTTACAAGTTATGTTTAATATAGCAAAGAAAATCTTAGAGTAAATTTGTCATTTTTATGTCTAGTACCTGAACTCTCCTTCACCGGCTCATTTTAACTCTGTAGGACAGCCTTGCCCTCCCCAGGAACATTCCTCAATGCCATAGAAATGTCAGTGAAATTTGTACTTGGAGCAAATTCCTGAGCAGATGGTGGTTAGAGATGTGTATGGATATTGATCTGTATTTACCTATTGCACAATAAAAGATGGAAACCTTTCCATCTCAAAGGAAAGCACCATAAATTTTTAACTGTCTTCATGAGGGGCAAACATTGGGCAGTGTTGCAAATAGCACTTTGTTACATTAACCAGGCCAGTGAGAAAGGCAATACAGTGAGTCAAACCACCTCTTCCCTATTTTGTGAATCCTCCTCATGGTTCTCAAGTCTTTCATATTTCAGGTAGTATTTCCTCTGACAGGTAAAATGAAGGGTCATTACCACTCCAAGTTCAGATGAAGGCAGTGAGATTTGGCAGATGGCAGCAATGCCACAGATAGGCTGTTGTTTCACCACTAACAATCACCTATGTAGGAACTGAATAGAAAAGAGGTGGGCAGGAATGTCTTCCTGGAGAAGGCTGGCAGGAAGAGGTAAGCAATGGCCAGAGTTTCCTATTATTGCATATGAGCAAAGTAAAACAGCAATATAAAGGCACATTCTGTACAACTCTACAGATAGCCAGCAAACAGATGTGTAAGAGGAGCTAGAATAGCTGCTTAGGGGAAGATTAAAATAATTCATTATATCGTACTTCTGCGAGGTTCAGTTTAAAGGGACAGAATTTTATTTTTGCCCTGATTAAGCTGAAAGCAGATAAAACATTGTTTTAACAGTTCCCTTCAGTTCCAAGAGTTATATTTTAATGCCTTTATCCCTGCCAAGCAATAAATTTGAGTTCAGCAGAACACTGTGAATAAGTGATCTTGCAGGGTGATTGTATATGAGAGACCTGATATCTGGAAAACTCTTCTTGTACCCAGTAATTTTCCAGTCTATGCAGCATTAGTTCATCTCTCTGAAAAAATGCATTGTTTATGATGATTGAATTTTTGTGCTAACAGTAAAAAATCTGACTGTTTCTACCTCTTATCCATTAGAAAAGCCATTGCAACATATGTTCCTTGCCTTGGACCCCTACTGAGAGTTTCTCCTAAAGACTCACGGTCCTTCAGCAGTTACCACTCCTCCAGACGAGCGACTGTAAGCAGCCAGTCTTCTGAGATAAGTGGGCTGCAGAAAAGAAAAAGGAGACTGTCTTCTCTCTCTGACAGTGAATCAGTAAGGGAGACACTTGCCATACACCATTTTTAATTGCAAAGCAATTTATTTTCATAGAGTCCTTCCAAGTGGTAGATTCTTTAGATGAAATGTATTATGGTGCTTGTTATAAAAGCTCCAGAGAAAGTGAAGGGACAAAGCAAAATTAAAGACAGAAGGCTACATGTAAAAGCAGAATGTAGATAATTTTCTTCTTGATGGTCGGTGACACTGAAGGAAAAGTGGAAAGATGGAACAGGAATTTTAGAAAGTAAAGTGTTACCAATACTATAAGTAATAATAAAGGTAGCATAGAGCTTAGTTGGAAGTCTGATCATACTTTTAGGCTGTGCTTGTCTCACCACAGATTTGCAGTCTGGACAGAGAAAATAGAAACTGCTAGTAAGAAAATAGCTCTCTAGTGAAAGTAAGGTTGTAATGAAATGAGATAATGCTTTCTGAAAATGGGATGTATTTGGAAACATATTAATCATCAGATTTAGACAAATCAGTAAATCCATTACAGAATCTTTCTCACAGAAGACCTCAACAGCTTGCTGCTGACAATCTAAGTGGAAACAAATGTTTTACACAGCAGCTGAAAACAGGGCAAGTATTTGGCACCCAGGCTGCCTCCTGTAACTCAAAGTTATATTACTAACTAAATAGGCATATTAGTTCATTGCAGTAGTTTCAAACTAAATTTCTAAATAACTGAAAGGAAAATAAAATTCTTGGCAGTTCTTTTTCAGTCAGTATAATAATTGTATCTAATCCAGCCAAGCGCTGAATTCTGACAGGTGTTTTTAACAGTGACATTGCAATTTCTTTGCCCTCTCTGTTCTTTTGATTTCCCGGTCCAATCAAAATGAAATACTTCTGGCTGGTAGCCTCCAGTCAGGTGGATGGTTTTAAAACTGGTGAATAGCAAGGGAACATCTTTATATTGCATCTCTTACACTGCAAATCTTGATTCTTAAAAAAAACAACAGACTCCCTCAGTAACACTGTTTTGTTTTCCCAATAACTGGAACAAAGTTTATAAACCCAGGACTTTTTACTGAAACAAAATATTCCTAAAGCACTGGTTCTGCAGTCCTGAGACATTTCCTTCTATTTATTTCTGCTTCCACCCAAGCCACTTTGGAAACATTGGCCCTAATTCCTCCAAACACCTGTGCTTCCTAAGTGGGTAGTGCTGTGGAAACACTGTCTCCTTGGAGCTACAAGAGGTATCAGAGAAGTTTCAACAGTAGATTGTAATAAAACACTATTTCCTTTCAAATTTTCTAGTGCATCCTGTGGAGGAAAAAAAAAAGTAAGCTGAATTTTAGAAGCAACAGACTAGATAGTTTTATTTGTACTTCTTATAAGTAGACATTTTATGAAATTAAATATGGCAGAACTTTTATGAAATGTCTTTTATACAATGCCTGTCTCTTTTATGATTTCTCTCTAGGTAAAACTGGGGCAAACTGGATGAAAGTCTAAGGGACCTAGAGTGATTTTTTTGTTGTATTAATTTTAGGGCTGTACTGAAACAGAAACTGATACTCCCAGTATGTTCTCCAGACTTGCCAGAAGACAAATTTCCTACAAAACAGATAAAGACACAACTCAGACTAGTGACATAAGAGCCAAACTGACAAGCCAGGATTGTGGGAAGGTAACAGACTGTGTAATACCTATATTCTCTAAGAACTGACAAGTTAACAAATCTGCACATTGTACCATAATTAATCATGAAGGTTCCTGCCAAGAACATGCGGATAACCTATGAGTTAACACAGTGAATAATGACTTAGAGGCTGTAAAAGGTCATCAGCTTTTTATTCTCACCCTGGTTCATTATTCAGCTGCTTCATTGCATTCCTGCTGCTGTTTTAGAGAACTTAACATGTGAATGGAGAGTTGTCTTGTGTTTGGTTTCAAGTGTGGATTTAGTAATATTTGTCTGTCACTGTCCAAATTACTTGATTTATCTTGGTTGTCCCACCATTTGTTACCAAAAGAACAAATATGGTAAGATGTAAAAAACAAGGCTAACTTTAATATATCACTGCTTTTCAGTCAGTCCTCTGTTGTCCCCTTTTTACCCTATGCATTTTGCATGTGTCAGATATTGTGACATACCTTTATGCTATTTACATCTGTCTTATCTGTGTTCATTTTTCAGACAGTTGTAGATGCTGATGACATATTGATGGTGGAACTGAATGTCACAGAGTACATGGCTACACCTACTGTAAGAACTATTCTTTTAATATTTGGCAACAAAAACTGATGACAATCCCAGTCCCTAAGCACAAATTAAGTTGGTTTTGAGAGGCAAAAATTACACAATATTCCCAGAACAGTGCAGAAAACATGACCACAAAGGGTAGGCCATTGCTGAAACTAAGCAGAAGGAAAACATAGGTATTACAGGATTCTTCTAAAGTTCAGCTTCTTCCAGGAACCTGAATATTTTCTTGATTTTAGTAAGTCTTCTAATGAGGTCTGTGATTTCCTTAGTGGAGCATGGAAGCATTAACTTTGTGCCATCTTTATATTAATGATGTATATGCTAAGCTGAGGCAGCCATTCTGATGGCTCATACTTCTGAGATAGCCTTAGTCCTATGGCAAGTACTGCTGTATAAAGTGATGTTGTTAACTATTAATGTTCTATTTTGGGTTGCAGCAAACATCTAAAACATGCAGCTTGGAGGAAATCAAGGTCAGTTTTTTAAATACGTCATGTCACCTATTCAATGAGATGTTGTCTGTTGCATTAGTGTCTGTTTGTTCTTCATCTAATACAGCTACAGCATATGGGTAAAAATATCTGACATCTCTCACAAGTAAGTCAACTTGCCTTAATTCTCAGCAGACATGGAAATAAAAGCAAAGAGTTGACAAGGCAGACTAACCCAAGTTTAATACAATCCCCTTAAATTGTCTCCTTATTATTAGCAATGATCCTTATGAGCTATGGTGAGCCTCATCCTAACTGATTTTTTGGTACTGTGCAAGTGACAACTAATGCTACTTATTATCAAAAAATGCTAGTTAATCTTTCCCTCATTTTTTACCTCATTATGTAGTTTGCTTCCCCCTTCAAATTATCCATGCTGTTAACACTACATTACATTACATTTTACAGTACCTCTTGCCCAATGACCCTAAGTAGTCCCTCTTTATGGAGAAACTCTTTACCTGATCAAATTCATAGGCTGTCTGAGCATATTCACAGTATTTCTGTTCATAGTTGAATGGGCTGTCATTAGCCTGGTCTTTCTTCAAGCAGACCAGCACTTAAGTAGCAAATGCAAAGTCTTTAAAGCTTTAGCACATTAGCTTGTTTAACAGGTGGGGGTTTTTTTCATAAGTTATTAATTAAATATTAAACAAGTGTTCAGATCTACTTTTCCCTCCATCATTTAAGTCTGCTTTTCAGTCAGCCTTGGGGAGTAGCAAAGTGCTAAATATATGTCATTTTTTTATAGATGATTCAATGGGATCTCCTTGTAGATGTTTGTGTTGTCCATTTCTTGTAAATCTTTGCATCCTTTAGAAAAGTGAAAGCCTGAACAGCATTGGACAAAGAAGAGAGTTTCACCAGGGATCATCTTCAGCCCAGATACCCAGTATTACAATAACATGCAGCAGTGTCCAAGGAGTAGAGCTGCCTTCTAGATACAACTCCGGTTTCCTGTACCCTAAATCCAGCAGTCACAAGCAGAACAAGAAGTCCAGCAGTTAAGTGAGTGGTGCAAGCCAGAATATCACCTTAACCAACAGCTCTGGAACAGCTGTGGACTGGCTGAATCCAGAATACCTTCCTAGATTGGTCTGAAATGCTCCTACAATGACACAATACAAGACAAGCAAGGATAAAAACACGAGGAGTGATGATTTCAACATCAGAACTCTCTCCAGGGGATGACATCTTCACCTGAGTCACACTGTAATTTTAATATTTCTTCTTTATGCAGCTCATGAAGACATTTATTTCATTTGGATTTTACTCTGCTTACATACATTCCCATCACTGCACAGACCTTATCTAGAAACCTTCTAGGATTAACCGAAGAGGGAAGGGAAGTATAATATTCAAAACTGGCTTTGTTCACTTAGTATATTAACTTCAAAGCTATGACAGAGCTAAAGCTGAGAAATTTGTGGGGAAATGTACATTGCTTCCTGAAGATGCTTTCTTAATTATTGTGAAGTTTCTCAACCAAATGTAAACTTAATTACACAGTTAGTGCCCCCTTCTCTCGTTAATGACACATTTGACCTCATTTTATTCTACAATCCAATGGAAGGCAATGCACTTTACCATAGTTTGATGTTTTGTGTCTTTATTTTAATTTCTGAGACAGGGAAAGAGAAAGGAGTAACACTTGAGGAAAAGGCTATGGTCCTTTCCATACTTAGCTTATTTTCCAACAGTGACTTAAGAGATGATTTTAACCCATTCTCAGCTAACTTCCACAGAGCTACAGGAGATTATTATGAAACTCCTTCTGACTTTACTTTAGCAGGTTTCATGAGAAGAATGCAGAATACAAAGCAATGTTTGTACTGAAATGTCTTATGGGTAAGTCAATACATCTGCTTTCTGATACTTCAAAGTTGTTTACTTTTTGATGTGCTTTTCAAAAATAAATGTTGGGAGGAGAAAGTTTAGTTCCCTAAAAATAGTTGTTCTAGAGATGTATGAAATCCATATAATTCCCTCTTTGACATTTCCATTTTCCCCTTCTCTAAACAGTAGCATTTGTATAGCTGAGGGTTTTCTTCCACAGTGACTAAATCCACAAGATTGTACTTCTTTCCCCTGAAAGGAAAGGGAAAGAGTTCTATCAATACTGACTTTCAGCTTTTCCCCGGTGTCTCTCCTAGTGCATAAGAAGAAGTGAACAATATTCATTTGCAATTCATAGCAGTCAGTCGAAAGTGGGGCTGAGCCAAAAAGAACAGGGCACAAAGCATTATTGTAACAGTTCTTCCCCATAGGCCCTCCAGCAGTTTTTCGTTGCAATAGTGGAGGGAACCCAGCAAGGCATTTTGTCCTAAGTAAATCAATTCTTCCCTATGTCACATGAGAAAAAGCCATAAAATCAATAAAAATGTAATGAACTTACTATTTTGAGGGGAAAAATCAGTGGGTTCCAGAAGGTCTGGGGCATTGTTTTGAAGTAAACTACTGGAAACTTAGGTCAAACTGAGGTTTATTAAAAGGACGGTTATTAAAACTAAAAATTAAGGTGATAATGACTTCTGCAGCAGACAAATCATGGAAAAAATGAGGCATTCAGGCTAGTAATAAATTCCTAAAAGAAACACACTGTTCAAAATCCACAGTGTTTTTATGTAAATGAAATCATAGTCATCAGAGATGGAAAGGAGCTGTTACAGTCTCTCCCTTCACCTACCACAACAGGATATTGTCTCCCAGCAGAGGACAATATTAAACTGATAATATATACAGCTAGCAATAAGGAGAAAGAAGAGAGAAAACATCTTCAAACAGGAAGTGTGTTCAAAGATATTCCTTAAGTCTAAGGAGTTCTACTGCAACTTATTGCTGAGGCTTTTAAAAATATTTAAAAGCATAAAACATGTAATTCTTTCTTTGTCATAAAGGCCGTTGACACTACTGAGAGATGGGAAGAAACATTAGCAAATGCTGCCTGTTTCATATAGATCACAAAAGACTGAATCTGTCAGGAAAATAGGTCTAACTCACATGTACTGTTTGATGTGTTAACAAAGAGTGTATGATATGTGTCACTAATAGCTAGATCTTTTGCTCCAGTTATGATTTTGTTCCAAGCAATATTCAAGACTGCACTCTGCACTCTTTTGCATTCCCTTCCATTTTTAGAGGGTATAAAAAGAATTCTTCCCTAGCTAGAAGAGCTTTACGAATCCACAGCATGTTGTTCTCTGTATCCTTCAACTCCAACATGTATTAGAGATTAGTTTGTATCTATAAAAAGAACTACAGCTGTTCATGCTCATCTACTTACAAGAGACTTGTAAAGCATATATTAATTAGGGAGAAATTGTTTGTGAGCACTTCAAAACCCTTGTGTGTACTCTGTGTAGCTAACAGCTTTGCCTTCCTTCACCTCTGCTATGTCTATAAAAATCATACAGGGGAAAGCCTACAAAATTCATCTCATCTGAATATCTCTACAACTGGTTCCACACTGTAACCCCTGCGGCATTTGGAATAAATCATTATTAGTTCATATTTCATCTCATCCTAGCAGATTTATTTGTGTCCTGTATCCTCCACTTGGCAGCCATTCTCTTGGTTGTGCTGTCTCTTTACACCCTTCAACACAGATGACTGATTGGATTAAAATAATTTAGGACTGAGATGATTCACGTTTCACTTAAAGTCAACTGCACAGACTGTTCTGCAGAGACTGCCTGTAGTTTACCATGCACTTGGACATGTTCCAGTGACTTGGAGTGTGACAGGACTAGGGCAAATCTGAGACACTTCCCTCTGGCCTTTTGTACTCCAGCAGCTGTTCATAGAGCAGGCTGCTGGCAAAAGCAATGGTAAGCAGTGATGGGAGTTAACACACAAGCTTTGCCCTTTCATGGGGGCACAAACTCAGGCTTGGTTCACCAGTGAAACTGTTTGGTCTGATCATTCAAGCAATTCTGCAAAACTACTGAGTAATGGGTCACTACTGCTGGACCTGCAAAGGACGTGCCAAGAGACACTGTAATGAATGGCTGCTGCAGGCCAAGACTCAAGGACTGCATAAGGCAGCAGCCACACATTGCTAATCTTTCCAATTTTCACATACAACCAGGATCTTACCCCCCATGTTTTCCAGCTTATGATCACATTCCATGCTTTTGGAAACTTTTTTACACTCACCACTGAACTAAAAAGTGTCATTATAGAATATGACAATGAGTATTGACATTTGACACATTCTCAAGTAAGACAGAATGCACAGGACTTGCCTTGAAGTCATATGCAAAACCCACAGCAAGCTTGACATTCAGAAATAAACAGACACCTCCAATGCTTTTTTGGGTGTTTCTAGAGCTTCAGGGTGTAACATGGGTAAGTCACCATTCCCACATGTGCCCATTTTCCTCAGGGTGCTTGGTGCCATTTTTTCCATAGGCCATCCCAAGAAGTCCCCTCATCCTCTGATCCCTCAGTGAAAGGCACTGCTGTCCCAGTAACTCTGACAGGGCACCTGTCTGTCTCTGCTGCTGAAACCCCTGCTGGTGGTGTTTATCTGCAATGCACTGTTAGTATCACACAATGGTATTTCAGTGGCCGGTAACAAGTATCTGTTGAAACACGTGTGTTTATAACCTTGGAGTTACTAATGTCATAGGAAGGTTATAAAGAGGTTTATATAAAAGCTTAGGATTTTTTTGCTTTGGTTTGGTTTTGGGGGGATTTTTGTGTGGTTTTTTTTTTGTGGGGAGTTTTGTTTTGGTGTTTTTTTTTTGTTTTTTTTTTTTTTTTTTTTTTTTTTTTTTTTTTTTTTTTCTTTTTTTTACTTTTAGACATATATTTATGTATATTTAGTACCAAAGATATTTTCAGTCACTTTCAGGAAAATCTTAACCAGCCCTTGCCAAAGAGACTTTATTGGGAGGACCTTTTTAAGATCCACTTTAATTTCGCTTACTGCAATCCATCCACAGTCATAATCCACCAGATCTATGACTCAGAAGCACAGCAAAAATGGCTTAAGTAGGTCTTCTGTTGCTGTCTGTTACTTGGAGGATAGGTAGAATGTGTAACTTGATCAGGCTTGAGTCAAGCCTTAGGCATGGTGTAGAGCAGAGAGAGCTGCAGCTCTGGTTAAGCTGTGCCAGTGCACAGACACAACCTGAGAGTAAAGCTCATCATGCACATAAAAAATTAAACATGATACCTATGTAAATAACTTGGTAAGGGGAATTTTATTTTTGTCGAGTGTGTTTTACTCACGATGAAAAAGCAAAGCCATTGCTCATTTCTCTCAACATTTACACTACCCAGTGACTTCCACAAGTGTCCAAGAAGATGGTTTGGAAACAGACACACAAATCTGAGACTACATCATTGTATAGCACACAGTCTCCAATGTAAAGTTCTGTAGAGGAACATTTCCTGGATAGGCTGTGGGACACTTATGGGCATACTTACAATTTCTACAATGTTTTCCACTGACTGGAAAAATAAAAAGGAAAATTTATACCCTTCCACACAGTGCTATGCCTGAAAGGTTACAAAGAAAGTGACTGTACCTCTAATGTAAGAACATTTCCTCCAAAAGCCTCAGTACTTCAAAAATGTATTAAACACCCCTAGATGCACCCTTTGCTGTAAAACTGGTAAAACTGCTTTCTTATTAAGTTTTTCAGATGCCTAAAGTTAATCATATGCATAAATACTTACACAACCCCTCAGGACACAAGTGAAATGACAGAGTTAAGGGCATGTTAGGTCAGTACTAAAAGTTAGTGAATTTTTTAAATATTTTTTAAGACTAGTATTTGCTGCTAACACCATGGAATTTTGAGGAAATCAGTTATCATCATTACATTAATTTTTTCTAAGTTTCAGATTTTTTAAAGCCAAAGCTGATACTGATAGCTGAGCTGAGTTGCAATATTGATTCAATGTAGAAAGCAGCGAGCATTTTGCTATATCAAACCCTTACCAAGAGGAGGAATGCCAGTCCTGAAAAAATGAATACAAGTTTGTATCGGAAGTTCAAGATTCTATTTTTTCTTTTTTCCATGTTTTCTGTGTGACTTTGGGAAAATTACCTGATCTTCCTATATCTATATGTTTCTGCCTATGAAATAGAGACAATATGTTCTTCATTATCATGTGGCTACTCTCAACTAGCTTTTACAGTTTGTTCCAAGGTTCACAATTGGAAATAAAATTTATTTTTTCCATTTATTTTATTCATATTTTCTTCCTCTACTGTACAGTTATCAAAACATCTAAACTACACTATCACATATGAAAGACAGATTGTTACTGA